TCGGTATGCTTCGTTCAGTTACATATTGCTGTTTAGTTAAATTTATGTGCACAGATTGCCAATCACGTTTATTAAGCCGTCATGATTTGAACAACGCACAGGCACCCAATTATGTACAAGACGAACGAACATGTTGAACGAAATACAGGTCTTTAAGTACCAACAAAAACTATATTAAATACATCAATAAATATTTTTGATATTTTTAAAACAACACTCACATCAAAAACTGAGAATGTTTGGACCAACTAAAAGCAAATCACTTCAAAAATCGTATCGCTATGACCGTTTACAAACTCAAGATGCTCGTAATAGTCTGTATCATTGACTTATTCTTCAGCATTAATTTTTAAACAATGAGAAAACCGTAATATACATTAAAACGTTCCAAATTACGTTTTCAAATTTGTGTAGTGATTATCAGTGTTATAAAATGTTTCAATAGTTATTAAGTCAGGTTTTAATCTAGCAGTACTTTTATGTTAGTGTACTTAATCATACTAAATATTTTATTATATAATTAAACAACAATATTTGTTTAAGGCAAAATAATGTGAAAGTGGATATTTTAATATTAAGTTTGTATGATCACCTAGAGTATTTAAAAATATTTCAGTTAAGATTATAAACTGGATGCAGTCAATTTTGATTATATTTTTGTACCCCTACGTATCCATAACTGACACAGCCGGATAAATTCTACACAAGTAGTAAACGTATAATGAATACTATGTGATAGCGTAGCAACCCTAGAATAGTGTAAAATGAATATAAATGCCAGTGTCGATTCCAGAATGAAATAGTGCGCTCTCCTGAGCGCTTTGTCCGGCAACCGAACGGACGTGACTCCTAGCGAGTTGCAACGGTATCCCGATCTTACTAACCTAGGCGCCCGCAGCTCCTAGCGGCACCCGATTAATATCGCGCCACGAAAAACCGGCCAGTGAGCAATCTATAGTATTTATAATCAATGGTACTACGTACGACTGGATTTAGTAAAAATAGTAGGTATTTTTATTTTACCTAATGATTATAATTTACAATATAATTAATATTACCGAAATAATAATCTCGAGTTCGAACTATAATATTTGAAAAGGTGAATCATTTAGAGTAAGGAGATGTTTGATCACTTCCATCAGAAGCATAGGCATGACTACGGGGGCAGCAGGGGCAGCTTGTGCTGCCCCTGTAATATCTAAAAAGGTCGATGATTTGCACTTAATTTATGAAATGAAAAATATTATAATATTATTTCAATTAGATATTTTATATTGTATTTCCCTTGCTAAAAATGCAATATTTGTATATAACTATAACATATTAACATATTATTCTAATATAAAAAGAATCGTAAACTGTAACCAGTTCATATTATATTGTTTAAATCAATGATCCAGTGGGCCGGAGTGGAATGCTTGCGCATTACTTCTTCCTAGGAATTACAGGTTTGGAGCGTATAGATATAAAAATAAGACTAATCGTAATGTGTGTAAAAATAAAATTATTAGAATGCATTAATAGAGGTATATTGAAAATTCCTATGTATAATATTTTCGATAGAATTAACAAACACCACAGTACACAGTTATAATATTTTATGTCCGCGACAAACACTGAAACACGCATCGCACACACGTATAATATTGTTTCATGCTCATACATAATAATATTATTTAGTATTTCTGTTATTTATTTCGCTGAGTAGTATTACGCTATGTCCTAGCTGGTGCGTGCACGCAATGCGAGGAGATGGTGCGATATTTGACCGCACCGCACCGAATTCTAGTACCCGCAACCAGTGGCGGATTACCCATTAGGCTCGTAAGGCTCGAGCCTAGGGCGGCAATTTGTAGGGGGCGGCAAATTTTTTCATGTTATTTTATGATACAAAAAAAAAAAAGAAAAAATTAATGATATTCATATGGGGTATTCATCATTTTTGGTATCTGAAGAAATTAATGGCTACTTGTTTCTTGTTATAACTTCCATTATAACACAATGCGAATGAGAAATACGAGGCCGCTTAATAAGAATAAGGCGAAAATCGTCAAATTTTCTCACTAATAAGGCGACTGAAAATATTAAATATCGATTTATTAATAAACTGATTGATGATAATATAGTTGGCGAATCCGCGACAGTGGCGTGCTCAGGAATTTTGAATGGGGGGGGGTTCACCTTTTTTTTAATATAATATTTTAATCAATGAATATTTATAACAAATCATTATGTAATCAAATGTAAAAACTATATTTAAAAATTATAAAACAAAGTCTAGTTTACGGGGTTTTTTTGCAAGTTCGTCAAGGACTTCTTCAGCTGAAAGTGGTATATCAGTGTGAACAGCCAACATTGTCAGTCCATTAAGTCGTGTCTGAAAACAAATTGTAATTTTAATCTTGTATCATTTTAAATATTAAGTTTGAGATTGAGAAAATCACTTCTGTCATTGTGTTTCTTAAATAAGTTTTCAATCTTTTTAGACATGAAAACGTTCGTTCTGGGGTAGCTGTGGACACTGGTAAACTACATAGTATTTGAATTAAGAAATGAAGATTCGGAAACATTTCCTTCTTGCATAGCCTTAATGCTTCCAACCCACTTTTAGGGTGTTGTCCATTGTTGTTAAGTACTGCATGCCACAGATTTAATTCTGCTTTAACAATTTGTTTATCAGTGTCAAGATAAAACTGAAGAAGTTCATCAAAATCGTCTGAGTATGTACCAGAAAACAAACATTGAAATCCTAGAAACAATTTTCCAAAATTAGTATAATTCAATAAAAAATAAATTTAGTTAGGTACTAACCTTTAAGTACATTTTTGTGACATAAAAAGCGCTCATTTAACTGCTGTATAAATGAATCAATATATGGTATAGCTATTGTAACTCTATAATATTCTTCAGGGTCATTAATACTAGGGTGGGTTGGCTCGTTTTGTGCATTTTTTACTCAAACGTTTGATCGATATGGTAATATCTAATATATTAGCCATTTTCTATAGTAATATTATTTTCATTAATTAAATTAAAAAATATATCATATAATATTATATTTGATTATTATTACCTCAGCTTCTTTAAACAGTTGTTTAAACTCTTCAGTTATATTTCCACGTAAACGTTGAATAGTAGCCACAGTAACTTCAGCAAGATCTACTGCTTCTTTTAAGTCAAGATTGACTTTTTGCAAAAGTTTACATAATGGTAAACCATATGAAAATAAAACCTAATGAAACAACAAAAAATGTTCATTATGGCTAAAAATTATTGTTTATATTTTATACAAATGCATGACAATAAAATATAATATTTACTTTAATAACTTGAAGTGAAATTAAAAATTCTGAGTCCATTGCTTTCATTAAAATGTTGGCATCAGTCGAAGTTGTGTCATTCCACTCGCATATTTTTTCTAATGTTTGAATTACATAAGGAAATAATTCTACAAAATCATTTATTGCTGTATATCTTTCCACCCATCTTGTTGCACAAAGATGTTTAATAGATTTTGATCTTGTATCCATGTCACTTTCGTTAATAACACTTAACAAGACATTTTTGCGTTTGGGTGTATTTAAAAAGCAGTACATTTTTTCAACCAAACCCAAAGAATTTCGTATTGCTTGAATATCACAACTTGTAGATACAGCTAAATTCAACGAGTGTGCTGCGCAATGAACATACAAGGCCTTAGGACATGTTTCCCTCACAATTTTTTGAGTACCTTTAAAACGCCCCGACATATTAGAAGCACCGTCATAACCTTGTCCATACATGTTACTGCAGTCTATTCCACATGAATTAAGCCCTGTATAACAACAAATAATTAATAAAAATCTAATTTATTTATAATAAATACAATATTCGTCAATTACCATTCACAATAGTTGATGCAATGTCTTTTCCTGTCAGACTATGAATTTCTATATATTTTAAAAAGCGTTCACAAACAAATACATTTTCATCAGAACCAACAACATATCTAACACACAACGCTAATTGTTCTTTGACTGAAATGTCAGTCGTTTCATCTGCTAAAACTGAAAAGCATTTGGCAGAATTGACCTCTTTGACAATTTTCTCTAATAAAATATCTCCAGCAGATGAAATAATTTCATTTTGGATTTTTGCACTTGTGTACTTGTATCGGCCATCAGATTCCAAAAAATGTTTTAAATGATTCAGATCTTTAGCCTTATACTTCAAAATGGCACGGAAATTACCTTCATTAATATAAGGTTCAGATTCAGCTATAAAACAATGAAAATACAACATTAGTAACATTGTTAATTGTAATTAATATTTTAAAATTTAATATCACTTTTAAAACAAATTGGACCAGCATCTTTATGTCCACGTAAAGCAAGTTCTTGCCTTCCACAAAGCATGACACATTCGATAATTGGAAGAAGATTTAATCTATTTTCTTTTTTTTGTTTCATTCTAAATGTAAAATTATAAAACCAAATTCAGCCATTAAAAACTTTTCTCAAGGTATTAAAAAGAAGTATAAACCCCAAAATTTGTTTACCTTTCTGTATCCAAAATATCAATTATGCTTGGTTGGCCACTTGAAAATGATTTTAAGAACTGTTCACTTTTTAATAAAGACAAGGTATGATATTCATGTTTTGAGTGTTTTTCAAATACCTATTTATTATTGTATATAATTTTAATAAATATATTAGAAATAAATCATAATATGATATGTCAAGAAGTTGAGAATTATTAAATTTTCTTGTTTTTATTAATAATTATTATTAATATTAATAAGTTTATTTACTTCTAAAGCTTTTTTCCAATTTTGAAAAGCATGTGTCACAAGACTTCCTAAAGCTTGAGATCCTTTACCACCAGATTTGGCAAAAACTACGCAGTATTTGCAAAAAGCACCTTCCAGTTTTTCGGAATAAGATAACCAATTAAATTTATCTAGCCAACGTTGCTGAAATTTGATATTTCTCTTGGCATTATTATTAAGCAATGGAAACAAGTAATTTGCTTGAGGTGACCATAAATTTGTTAATACCTAAAAATATAATTGTTGATGCAGTGTATGCTAGGAAATAGCATTTAGCAGAATACTTACTATGTTTTTTTCATGATCAGATAAGCAGCGATTAAGAAACAAGCCAATATCATTTTTTTGAGTAAGATGTACAACATTTTCCAACTTAAATAAAATAAAAATAATGCCAAATATTAAGCATACTAGTATTTATAATCAATGTTTATAGTTATGTTGATCGTAATTCATAATAATGAATATTGATAAATATTAAATTATTATAATTAACTACATGTAAACATGTTAGACAGCCATACACTTCATCTTCATGCACATATTATACTCCATGCTAAAGAATAATGTAATTTAATAGCGTGCAAAGGCCAAAAAATTAGGACTTTAATATGGCGTATACCTACCAGTTTTAAGTCAAAAATCTTAAAATTATTACCTTACCTGGTTACCGATAATTTGACTATCTTCCGTTTCCAATTCGTGTTTCCGTTTAAGTGAATCGGATGCAGTACTCGCAGTAACACTGACACTCGTGGATGTAGTTTTAAAAAAGTTCGTTATCTTTTTATTTGACATTTTAATTTTAAATTAAAAAATTTCAAAACACTAAACTCAAAATACGAACACATATAATACAAACGTGTAACTCGACGCCTATCAAATTCACGATTGAACAATAAAATATATTAAATAATAACAGACCATACTAAGAATATATTTGTTTGTTTATTTTAATTTGTTTTACATTTAGATTCCAGTCGATGCGTACTAAATTAGGAATTACCGTGTATTACTATCATGTAAGATATCAAAAAGTATAATTATAACTAACATTAGTCAATACTCGAAAGCTATAAATAGTTTTGAATGTTGCATATTCGATATTTCAGTATTTTTCTCTTATAGATTATCATTCGATTATTTATATAAGCGACAAACATTATAATCGGTTCTAGCAATGTAAATTGTAAATGTTAATAATAATTCATTCGAATGAAATCGTTAGGTTATTACTCATTTGATTATTCGATTTTTTTTCGACTACTAATCATTCGATTATTCGATTTTTTTTTTTTTCGATTACTAATCATTCGATTATTCCCATCACTAATAATATGTTTTTATAATTATATAAAATGTATATGTTGTACAATCACGACGGGTTACATAGAAAACAGGAACATTGGTTGCGGTAATATGTTAAATTGGTAACAAAATAATGCACAATGATACCTGAACTATTATGTCTGACAAGGAGAAAATTATACATAATCAATTTATAAAAAAAAAAAACTCTAAAATTGAAAAATATAATAATTATAATTTTCTATATGTAAATTGTTAATACATATTATATATTTGTCAAGTGCCAAGGGGGGGGGGGGGTTTGAACCCCCTACCCCCCCCCCCGTGAGCACGCCCCTGATCCGCGAGTAAATATAAATCAATTTATCGGCGGAAATGTTTGAATATTCGATCTATTGACGAAAAGATAAGATTATTTTCAACCAGTATTATACAATAACAATATACATTTATACTTGACACGGCGACGCCGCGACGGTCGTAATCGTAATGACATTATTTGGGTTTATTATTAGTTATTACGACTATTAATAAAATTGATTATTATTATCATAAGTACCCATCATATTATTTTTCAATTTATTTTGCTGTGAACATCTGGACACATCGGTCGCCACTCACCATTATTTCGTCAAGGTTTATTGAATTATTCGTAAGTATATATTATAATATTTTTTAATCTCTTGTTCATTAAATCACTGGTCTAAAAGATAAGACAATTTTATGTTAATATTTTTTCGATATTATAGCACAAGTTTTAATATTATTGTATTGAATATTAATTTAGTTGTGGATCCACGCCTGGTTGTGGATTTCTTTTTAAAAAGAGTAATATTCCTACTCGAAAAAAATTAAGTGGCGCCCAATACCGAAAAGAAGTAAAGGAGAGGCAAGAGAAAGAAGAAGTTTTGAAAAAAACTAGGAAAATAAAAAATTATTTTCAAAAGCAGTCAGGCAAAATTCCAGTGAACGACATTTCTGGAATTGGAAACGTTGAAGTTCAAAATGAAGGTTCATATTTTTTAATTTGTACACCTAATTATTTTCCAGTTTTTTTTTTCAATAATTTAATTTATTTTTTAGATACAAACATTACCATGAATACAAATGATGATTCTGTGAATAATCCATCTCCAAGTCTGCCTACATCAACCACACATTTTGGAAAAAATCCTGCTGATTCCATCATACGACAAGAGTTACCTAAAGTACAAAATGTTACTCATTCTGGTTTTGTAAGTAATGATCCAGCGGAGTGGATAATTAAGGATACAATGATTGAAATTTTACTGGCCAGAGAAATTAATCAAAATTTAGATAACGATTTTACTAAAACCAGAATATTTTACGAACCTGGAAAATTTCGATCTCTGAGTAAAGATAATTTCAAAAGAAAATTGAAAAATGGAGAAGAATACGACCGAAAGTATTTAATATACTCTCCCAGTAAGAAGTCATTATTTTGCATGCCATGTCGATTGTTTAGAGGCAAATCTTCGCTGGCAAAAGAAAACGGATGTAACGATTGGAAAAATATTAATCAAATACTGAGCTCACATGAAAATTCGAAAGACCATCAAATTTGCCAAAAAGCCATGTTAAATCGAAGTAGAGCTAATGCGAGGGTAGATATAATACGCTTTGTTCGCAAATTGATGCTGAAATCCAGTATTGGAAAAACGTTTTAAAACGAGTCTTGACAGTGATTAAGAAACTCAGCAGTCGAAGGCTTGCTTTCAGGGGACATGATGAACGATTTGGATCTACCCATAACGGCAACTGCATGATGTGTCTGGAATTACTGGCAGAGTTTGATCCGTTTTTAGCAAATCATATTGCTACTGGCGGAAATCCTGGTAAGGGTAATACGTCATATTTATCGTCAACAATATGTGATGAATTTATCAACTTGATGGCCAAACATGTAACGAACAAAATTGTAAATGAAATTAAACAATGCAAGTATTTCTCTATCGTCGTTGATTCTACTCCTGATATTAGTCACGTCGATCAATTATCGTTTGTTTTGAGATATGTGAAAGACGGTATTCCAGTGGAACGATTTTTGCGCTTTCTACCAAAAGTAGGCCATAAATCTGAAAACATGGAGGACGCAGTTCTCTCATTTTTGGAAAATCTTGGAATTGACATAAAAAACTGCAGAGGACAGTCGTACGATAATGCGAGTAAAATGTCCGGTGCATATACTGGATTACAAGCGCGAATAGTCAAACACAATTCTCTGGCTATATATGTCCCGTGTTCAGCTCATTCTCTGAACTTGGTTGGTTCATGCGCTGCTGAGTGTGTTCCTGAAGCCTCAGCATTTTTTAATACCATTCAGACCATATTCACATTTTTTGCCGCTTCTACTAACAGGTATTTTTTTTGCCTCGACTTTCATTTATGTAATTATAATTTTTCATTTTTATGATTTTTCCAGATGGGATATATTTAAAAGTAACTTAAAAAATGGCCAAACAGTGCTGAAACGGGCAAACGGCACTAGATGGTCTAGTAAACACGACGCTTGTAAAAGTTATGCTACAAGTTGGGCGGAAGTTGTACAATCTTTGAGTAAAATTCAAGACGATATGATGGAGAAAGCTGCGACTCGGAGTGAATCAAAAGGTTACAAAGACCAAATAAACAATTTCGAATTTGTTTTTATGACAATTTTTTGGAACACGTTATTAGAACGTTTTAATGCGACAAATAAATCGTTACAATCGATAAAAATACATTTGGAAACCGTTGTCCACCTTTATACATCCTTGACAGATTTTGTCATCCAATTACGAAATGAAGAGATGTTTGAACAATTCATAAATAAAGCCAAACAATCAATCCCAGAAGAATATAAATTTGATATGAAGCGGTCCAAAACTAAATCAATTTTACCAGATGAAACACGAAAAAATGAAACGAAACCTCAAAACGGAAAAGATAACTTACGTATAAATGTATATTACCCAATACTAGATTGCATTTCAGTTGAACTGAAGAAAAGGCAAATGGATTATACTGAAGTGGCTGAAAGATTCGATTTTTTACAACATTTGAATAATTTTGAAGCGGACCTAATTTTGAAAAAAGCGGAACATTTACAGATGCTGTATAAAGATGATTTGGATGAAAATTTTGTAACTGAGGTACTGCACTACAAAGAGTATGAAATTTCCAACTTCGAACAGTTTATTGATCAAAAACTGGAGCAAACATTTCCGAATGTTTTCATAGCTCTTAGAATATTTCTTTCCATGGCAGTATCCAACTGCACCGCTGAAAGGTCATTAAATTTTTAGTATTCAAAAGAATAAAAATGTATTTACGAGCCAACTTACTAAAGAAAAACTCAACGCTTTGTCCATACTGTGTATTGAGAACCACATTACGAACGAATTAGACTTCGACCACTTGATAAAAGATTTTTCCCAATTAAAATCTCGAAAAGAACTGCATTAAATCATTCGTACTCTTTATGTAATTAATATATTGTAACTAGTAAGATTATATGTAATACAATATTTGAATTAAAGAATAAATTAATAATTATTCAACCATAGTACATTTGAACCATTTCTCACTCCCGGGACGACTATATCACTCTTCGATGTTAGCCCATTCAAATTACGATTTTTAGATAGTATTAAAAAAAGGGGGTGGTAAACACTGAGCGTGCCTACGGGCGCCGAGAAGGTTAATCCGCCACTGCCCGCAACAATGGCAAAATTGACGCATTCAAATACGCGGGAAAACGCATACGATTTGTGGATTTTAAACTTTAACTTATTTTTATAAGTAACCCATCAGTACCTTTTTGTTGTACTTCTTCAGTTACATATTGCTGATTCTGGCTAAAAATGTCTTTAAGGCCTAATATGTGTATGATATATTAACTATTCCCTGTGTGTTTGTTATAAATAATTTTAAATTTAAATAATAATATCTCTTGCCTATTGTAATTACATCACTTTTTATTAACATAATAATAAGACTATGAAGTGTTTATAATTTGGTTTCGTTATGCCTTATAATTTATCATTAGTCGTTCTTCAACAGATATTGGATCTTGAAAATTTGAGTACTCTTTTGACAAATTAATTGTTACTGTAATTTCCTTAATGTAATCAAATGTCTGTATTCATTCTCATTGTACAAACATTTACTTTATCTATAAATAATTAGCCGGATTACAGTTGGTAATTATCTAATATAAATCTGTCTATAAACTGAGCATTTGGAGATCTAGATTTTTACTCATTTTAAATGATTTATACTTCAGATAAGTATTTTCAACCAGATTCAACCTCTAATTGTTCTTCAATTAACGACATAATATAGTAAATTAATGTATTGATACAAACAAATTTAAATGCTATTTAACTAATTACTTATTATGATATTGATACTTGTCAGCACAAATGCATG